TTACACCGCCTGTGCACGTCTGAGTCTCCTGCAGAGAGACTTTAGACTCAAAGTGACATCCACGCCACTTTCACATGGGCAACAGACAACAGACACTACTTATCACAGCCTTGTCTGTCTGAAAGTCAATATTGACACGGCCTTGGGATTGCATAATCAGAAAATAGATTTCTTTATATAGAAACAACCAAGTAAATGTGACAGATGGAAAAACCCAAATAAAGTGCTATAAAGAAGACGATGAAAACAGTTCAAATAGCAGGTTTGCATAAGAGGTTAAATAAAGTTATTATTATGGTTTATTTATACAGATTCCTGAAAGTGTGAAGAGCACATGTGACTTTTTTTTATTCACATCAACCAAAGAAGATTTTATTCATATTTTCACTCAGATAAGAGATAAGAGAGAAACAAATGCATGATTGTTTGGGCGTGCTCCGTTTGTGGTCTCGATGCAGCACGTTGTGTTTTGACTCTAATGATCATACAGTGATCATGCCTGAGCTGCAGCTCTGTGAAGACAGTTCAATATACCCACGTTTTCTGTCCGTTATCTGTTATTGCCATAACATGATATTAGAAAAGACCGAAGAAGTCAAATATAGAAAATAGACTGAAGGTAACTCAGCTGCTGCTCAGTTACTTTTAGTATCAGTTATCTTTAGTCGAGTGGCAGATCAAAAGTTTAGGACCACGTGCAAACATGTTGATGTGTCAGGTAGTCACACTGTCCTGTGGTCGGGTTGTTGAACTGCATAAACAGGGACCATCATCGACCATCCTGCGTCTTCCCCTGATCTAAATCCAGTCGAGAACCTTTGGGGATGGACGGCGAGGGAAGATTACAAACATGGACAACAGTTCCAGACAGGAGACGCATACGACCTCGTACGACCGTCTGCACCACTTGGAGAAATGTTGCATCAAACATGCTGCAAAGAATTGTTGAAGTGATCGATAATAGCAGTGAAGCTTCTCATTACTGAGTTTGTTTGGAACTGTTTCTGTTTTGGGGGCGTTTTCGGGTTTTTTTGGAGGTGTGGTCCTAAACTTTGGATCAGCTGTAAAACAGCCTGTTTCGGTTTAAACATTGTTTTCAATAAATTTCATGCTCAAAAAATGTTTTGTCTCACTCACATTTCTTCTTGTTGCATGTTGAAGCTCTACCTGGAACCTTGTTAAGATCCAACCATGCAAAATAGGATTTTTTGCCATTTTTCAAACAGTCTTAAACTTTTGATCAGGACTGTATAAAAACAGAATTCAAACACTGGCTTAGTTTATGTAAATTAATAAACAACTTTTTAATAAATTTTATCTAAGGTCAGCAAGTACACATAGCTGTTTTAGCTTATAGAACAATAAAATATTTTACTGCCAACAGGGAAAAATCTAATCAAGGAGTAAAGTTGCATCTACGAATCTATATTTATTACTAACCCTCATGTTATCTGTATTCAGCAGTCTGAGGGATCTTCCTAGTACATCAATGCTGCTTTAATTAGAACTCATTGGTGATTTTTACTCTCTATGACCTCCTCCAGAGCCAATTAGGATCACAGTCTAGAAGTAAACCACTGAAAAGCCAAAGTTAACCCTGAAGTTGAGATGAAATCCTCATTTGAAGCTCCGGCCTCTGGGATATTATAGAAAATAAAGATTAAATTAATAATATCACAGCAAGCCTGCAGCTGTACAAGCTCATATTTAGGTTCAGTCACATTATGAAAGAGGCGGAGGGGTCGACTGTGTTACCGCTTTCCTTCAGGTGAATATTTTGTGCTTAAACACAAGAAACTGCTACAAAGCCAGCAGTGAAGTTACTGGCTTGAATCTCTTTGTGAGGCAAACACAAAGTGCTAAGTCATCACAGGTGTGCTGATCATTAACCAGTGCAGAGCACATCCAAATCACGGCAGCTGGTTGTGGCTTCCAGCGTGAGCGAGAGATGGAAACGATTCTGGCAGGAGGAGTGAGCGGCGTTACAAACACACAGCTGATGATTTCACCAACTCTGGACTCGACCTGCGTTCCTGACACGTGGATCAGATGATACCACACTACTGCTCAACACTCTGGTCTCATTTTAATCTTCATCTGTTAATTAATTTTGATTAACCAGGTCATTTATCATTACAGATATGTTGTTTAATATGAATCCAACCTAAGTGTGCGAAGCTGAATTTGTAGCAAATGCCCCTCCTGTGTTCCAGTGGTTTGTGTTAT